TAATTCGTAGTTGTACTCTACCTTGTTTATTGGTTAAATTGAATGAGTTAGGACTGTTGTGACTTTGATTTCCTTTCAGCATACTGTGTTTGATGTCTTCTGTTTTTTTGTTAGCTTTGTTGTCTTGCTTGAGGTTTGAATCCTGTATTGCGATCAGTTTGAAATCCTCCTTGTTTTTGAATTTGTTGATGCATGCTGATCTGTCTTTTTCATGGTGAAAGTGAATTGTATACCATCCATTCCCATTGTGGAAATATGGTTGGATTAGATTGTATTTGTTGGCGGGAAGCTTGAAAATGTTTGCAAGATACTTAATCTGTTCTTTCTGATTCTCTTCTGGTGTGTTTGCTATTAGAGTTCCTGCTTTATATGTCCCTTTTATATGAATATGGTGAGGGTTTGTTGGATGGAAGACTCTGTTTCTTGTTGCATAGTCTTCCTTTGCTCTTATGTCTTCCAGTGGATCGGGAGTAAGTGTTAGCATATCAGGGTCTTCGTCTGGAGGAGATTGCTCTTTCATGACTATCTCTGGGACGTGTGTTTCCTGATCTTCACTTATGTTTCCAGAGGTCTGTTTGTTCATGATGACTTCTGGTATTTGTTGTTCTTCGTTTGCCTGCTTTATTACATCTTCTTGATTAATATAATTTTTGAAATATTTTCTTTACTCCTTTCAACTGACTCGTGTTAATGGATATGGTTGTAGTTTCTTGTCTCAGATTGTCCAGTGGATAGTGTGGTTTCTGGGTCTTTGTTTTGTGCATATCATGAATCTTGACCTGAATGTAGAATATCTACAATCTGGGACACTTGTTTTGAGTCTTCTAGCATGTATCTGTTTAGTATGTTTATGTCTAGTTGATTGAATGCCCAGATTTGTTTGATGTATTTTTTAGCCAACATCTATTTTACGGCTGTATATGAATTGACATTGAGAAGTTTTGCCGCTACTGCATCTATGACTGTAATGTTTACTATTGTTCCTAATTCTGCCAGTTCTGATGCTGTATTTGTTGCACCATCTTTGATCAATATATGGAACCATCTTTGTTCTCCTTTATTGTGATTGTCTTCAATCATTTTGAGATATTCAATTATTAGATTTTCTATTTGGATTGGATTGAAGTCAGCCATTGTTTTGGACTTTTGTTGGGTTGACGTGTATGAACTGGCTTAATTTGCTGTTTGTTTGGTGCATATTGATTTGCTTGGGACAGCTTATTGCGCAATATAGTTGTATTTTTTTGATATATACGATTAAAATTAACACATGTTATACCAAGTTGTTTGTGGACTGCTTGTTTTGATAAACTCTGTTTGTGTTTTGTTGTTTTGTTTGTAGTGATAGCGTGTTCGTGCTACTGCAGATCTTGCTTTGGAAGTAAGTTAATTTTGGTAAACTTTGAATCTGTTGAGTACACGTATTGCGTTTTGGATTGCTGTGTTTATTTGTTTGACAGTTGTTGATATTGTTTGATTCTGAAAAGTACGTGTTTGTGTTACTGTTGATCTTTGGGAGGGGTAACCTGTCTCTGGTTTTTTGTCTCTACCAAAAAACTGATCACGTAATGGATGTTGTTTATTTTTAAAAAATATTGAGATCTGTACTTTTCTTTTCAATTACAATAATGAAAAAGTCTTGGGACTCTTCTAATTTTGTGTTGATATGCGAGGTTGCCTGGTTTACCGGATGTGATTTGGTCAATACTGAGTCTTGCTGGTATCTAGGGAGGTATCTAACCTGGTGCATGACTAGTTAGCAGCTTGTAAAGTGCAGTGCTGACTTTCTCTTTTAATTTTATTGTAAATTGTATTCCTTGTTTTTCCTTTTTTCCCAGTAAAAAATCACAAGTATCTGTCTCTAAATTTAAGAAATAAAGAAGGATTAATATACTTTTTAAACCCACAGTATACCTGTTATGTTAGTCCTCCTTTGTTTTCAAGAAGATATTGTGGAGTTTTCCTTTAGATGTTCTCTTTGAGTGTTTCTTTGAGTGTTTTTTTGAGTGTTTTGTAGTATTACCAAAAAAGGAAATTTTTAGGAATTTGGTGATTTGCAGGAAAGAGTTTTTTTTTTTTTGGATTTATTTTCTGTTAAATTTATTTATAATATAGAAATTATAATTATAGAAGTCTTAAAAGCTTTTTTAATATATAAATTAAGTTTCTAAGCTGACTAAAAGCTTCTTTAATTTAATATAAAATTAAGATTCTAGAGTTTTAAAACTTATTCTTATATAATAAAAAAATTGATATCAGATTTAAACTTTTTAACAAGTCAATACACTAATTTCAATATAATCTAAAGCAAAAATTCTATCCCATGGTTAAATAAAAAATGTGTCTAAAACAAAAATCATGTCCTTACAGTTAACTTAGATATAACCAAAAAATAATACCAGATTTGGACTTTTCAGCAAGCCAACATACTAATTTCAATATAACAGCTTTGTTTCAAAACTCTCACATTTACAATGTGTGGCTTACATATTGATATAATAATTATAAATATTAAGTTTAATAAGATTCTTGCATCCAATGCTTGTTAAAAAAAAAATCGTTTTTAAAAAAATGTTAAAAACTTAATTATTTGACAACATATTAAAATAATAATATTGTTCTTCTTATTCTTAGAATGTTAAACATTTAGAAAAAAAATATATTTAAATTTAAATTTTGTCCAATAAATTTGAATATTCTCTTTAATTATTTAACTAAATTTAATTTAATTAAAAATCAATAAAATATTTAGCTTTCACCTATTAATGATTCTTTTTTATAATTATAAAAAAAAATATGTACAGTATATAAGATGATTTGTTTAAAATTTTAATTTAAAAATTAGCTTTTATAATGTTAACCAAAACTTTGAGTTCATTGTTTCTTATGCTTTCAGGATAAATTGATTATGTAGTGTCAGTTCTTATTGATCTTAAATATAACTAACGGAAAGATGACTGGTAAATGATGAAGTCAGAATATTCAATAGTAAAGGTAAAATAAAACGCCGTTCGAAAACTTCGGAAATAATCTGACTCGAACTATGATGAATTAAAATTTCCATTTTATTCTAGTATGAGATTAATAAACACAATCATGCAATCTTTATACAATAACTCAGAAAATTATCGAGGACATAAAAAAATAAACTAATATTGAGACCACATTTCTTATCATCTTTTTTGGATGTGATATCATTCTTACGTGATGTCTGTCATGGTTATATTCGCTGATATAATAACTCCCAAATAATCCGTGACAAAAAGGTACCTACGGAAATCTCGTTCGAGTGTACTCTCTTTTGATATCTTTGACGGAAAAAAATTCAGTAAATCAGATCATCGAGAATTAATTCGTATTAACATAATTGGTACGTCCGTGATCATAACATAACAAGAAACAGTCATTTAATGAGGATGGTTTGTTATATCTCGTTATCATTACAATTGGTACATCATTCCAAAAAGTATAAGTCTTAAAGCTTCTCCTGTCGAGGGAGGTCTAAGAGAATAAGAAGAATTTAATAAATTTAATGCCCAAATCACATTCGAATTAAAAGATTTTCGAACGATGCCCACGTAGAGATTAAAATGATTACCAGTGTTCAATGGACCTATTCTCTGCAGAAGACGTTCATTTTCTGTAATATCAGGAATTGATCTAATGTTTGGTGCATCAGAATTTACTTCCGCTCCAAGAACTCCACTAGAACCATTTGACCTCCCTGGGATCATATGACCAGTAAGACCAGCTCTTGTCACCGCGGTCGCATTGGCAACGTTTCTCACCGTCGGGTCATTAATACGTCTTTCCATCAATAAATAATGCATCTGCATCCTTAGACCGTGACATAAATTCTTAAGGCTTTGTATTTCTTCTTGCATTCTTAAACTTTCAGTCATTAGCGCTACATTTTGTCTTAGTTCTAAATCAGCAAAGCTAGCATTCAGGGCTTCAATCTGATTCTTAAAATGGTCATTATCTGAGAGTAATAATTCCTGTGTTGTTATAATCGATGTTGACCTTTCTAAACTGAGCACGTCACCTTTCGACTCCAAGTCATGGGATGGGAATCCGGAATTCAATAAATTGAATATTTCTGATACTTGATTTTGTAATGACAAATTTGTCTTTTTGAGCTCTTGAACTGTAAATCGAAGTTGCTTGTTCTCCTGATCAAGAGTATCCATCCGTTCTTTGTGAATTTTAAAGAAACCTTTCAAAGGTTCAAACGGACATTCAACTATATGTTTGTTATCTAAATCGTGTTGGAGTCCCGACCAGGAACACTCAAATTCGGCGTGGTAACATGATACGGGTTTCTTTGGGCATTTCTCAAGATGTAAGATATGTAGCGAAGGAAAATTCTCTACACGACAATAAGGACACTCGACCTTGACAATCTTCTGACAACTTTCCATGTGTTTTGTCAAATCTTTTTTCAGCATTGTCTTACCACATTGACACTCGAGCGAAGTGAACTCGCACTCTCCTTTTAAATGAATGTTTATCAGTTGACGTTGTCCCTGATATATACAACCTAGATCTTTATTAGGGCAATATGCCAACAATTCGTTTACCATGTTGGAAATTATCTTTGAAGCTGGCTTAAGTTCTGACATGTCGGAAAGAGGAGAGCGATCAACCGGACAAGATAGCCTTGTTGACAAAGCTTGTTCGATGCAAGACCTACAGAATGTATGACTTGAAATTATGGTAGAGTGGTAAAGTAGTGCATCGTAAGGCCGTTTAATCTGGAATCTTTTAAATCATAAATGCGAAAAAAATTCTTAGTTATTCACCCGCAAGTTTCCACGACCACGGGTTCAACAAAAGGAGTTTGACAAATACAACATATGAGGTTGGAGTTCACAGTTCCAACATAAAGGACGGAATGTAAGTCGAAGGTCGACATTGTCGCTACAAAATTCTTTGCTTGTTAGACATTAAATTCTAAATTAGTAGCTATATAATAAGATGAAAGTGTATCCTCGATGGGGTGATGGATATATCAATATATTACGTAATAACGTCATGGTGTAATTTACTGTAATTATTATTGTTATTATTTAAAGTAACATGGTATACATTTCGAAAGAAACAATATCTCTTTATATACAAATTATAAAGTATAATAAACAATAAGTCCTGTTTACAGATACTATCTAAATTATTACTATTATTATTTTTTTAAACTGGGTGACTTATGTCTTGTTATTATTAGATTTTATATAATTAAGTACTGTATATGGCTGATTCTTTTTGAAAACAACAAAAATGTTATATACAATTTTTTGAACAATACATATACAATATAAATTCTAGGAGTACAATTATAAAGTCAGAAAAATCCCTGTCCGCCTTCAAAAAGAATTACCCATATACTGTATAAATTATTTTATACAAATTTTTTATTTATGTTATTTAATAAAATCCCATTAAAGATTTTTTCTATTACATAGTTCATTGCCAAGTACAGGTGTATACTTTTTTTTTTTTACAGGCAGCTTATGCCTTGTTAGTACAGGTATATACTTAATTAATATGTCAAGTCTAAATATTATTAATATTTTATTTATATTTTATTTGAAAAAAATAAATAAAAAATAAATAAATAAAAAACTTGAAAACATGCTTAGAATAATTTATGACATTATCCAATGGTGCCCTTTCTGATACATTATTGAAATTCAAAACAATAGAAGTATAATCCAATTTCCTTCAAATTTTCCAAAAAAATAAACAAAAATTAACTTTGTTATTTTAATTTCAAGAATCAAATACTTGGCAATACAAAAATCTATTACTTTCAATCTTATTAAATTCAAATTCAAATCAAGAATTATTAGCCATATATGATAAAATAGTTCTTTTTTACATTTTTTAAAGAATCTTACTATAAACAATACAAATCTGAGAAGTTGTTCAAAATAGTATAAAAAAATCTTCAGCTGAAATTAAATTTTGAAATTAAATTTTTTTAATTATCTTATATAATCTGTAAAAACTCTTCTATACTTAGAATATTTAATTAGTCTCATGGTATTTTTGGTTTCAAAATAATCAATTTCTTTAACAAATATATAAAAATATTCTATAATAACTATTATAACAACTTGATGGCCTTTAGAATTAAAAAGATTTTAATGATTTAATTTGATTTGATTTAATTTGATTTTTGATTTTCAGGTTTATATTAAATTTACTATATAGACTATAATTCATTATTATTTTTAATAATGTTTTGAATCTTATATAAGTCTATGTAAATCTGTTTAATTTCAATCTTCAGAACCATATTTCAGGTATTCTTTCTATACAAGAATTTCTCCATAACCTATATTTTAAATATTATAAAAAGTTATATTGTTCTGGATAAAGCTTTTACTTAGATGATATCTTTTATATCTTTAATTGCTCTAAAGCTAGGAAAGAAGTCAAACAAATTATAGATTTAATTAATCTTATACTTTATTCAAACAATAACAATTATTTAATCACCAATATATAATAAGTAATAGAACTAGCATATGGAATTACTATTAATATTTTTTTCATAGTCAATATCTATAACTAGATTAAAGTATTTACTAAAGTATTAATTAGAGCTTTAAAAAGTACTAAACTGGTATCAAACTGATATTAAAAAAATATTAATCTATAATAAATTTAATATATGAGTTGTAACTTATTTATATAATTTTATAGTAAATTTAAATATTGAACTGATATATAAATAGTATTGAAATGAAATATGACTGAACGAAACCCAATTACAATATCTGACAACAACCCAAGTTCCCAAACAATTATAACAAATCTGAATGGCAACATACTTCTAGATGTCATCCTTGTAGAGAGAACAAGACGCTACGTGTCAATAATAT